AGTAAAGTGATCAAGCATTAATAAGATGTTAAACGTAAGGGCGTAGACTGACCTCATCTCACTCACCAGTTTGAAGAGCTAGAGGAAGAGCTCGAGGAACATTTAGTGGGTAGCGAGTTCGAGGGCAGCCAGCAAGAGGAGAGCAGTATAAGCGTCACGGAGGGTGCCTAGTTAAGATTTTCGGTAGCAGCAACAACAGAGACTACCTAGTTGTTTGCATTTTATGATTATGAGTATAGACTGGAGATCAGATTGAGAATTTAAAGTTTGAGTTTAATTTGCCCACATGTTAGGGCTTTAATTTGCCCACATGTTAGGGCTTTGCTAGTAAAAGTGTGTGTTTTCAGTATTTTATTTATGAAAATTTTTCCTAGTTGCAATTTAAGATTTTAGTATTTTATTTATCAATGACATTTTAGTAAAAGTAGTACCCGATCAGGTTAGGGTGTTTCATTTTGGTATCAGAGCCGGTCTTCCTCTGTTCCTTGGTCTCCAAGGAATACTGGAATATCAGTCTCATTTTTAAAGGCTTTTGTTTTAAAGGAAAGGGAAAACGAGTCAAGGATCTTTTTTTAAGAGTTTATAGGATCTCCAGTCTACTCTAATCATATTAAGGTGAATAACTATGACATCACGGCACGAAGGGATGGTAGCCCAGGGTGCGATTGTTTAAGAATAGGCTGGGGCGCGATTTGGTTAACATGTCGTGGTTTGTCAAATGAGAGATTTAGGCATTTGGTGATCGCCAGTAAGAAAGAAAGGATGAAAGAGACGTGACCAGCCCAAGTAGAATCTCAAAGGCTCTCAAGACCAAGTATCTCGTCGACATGATGGATAGTAGTTTTTCAATTAGTTAACCATCTACTCGGACGTTAGCAAACGGATCATCATCATCATCAACCTAGGGAAGGAAGGAGGAACGTTGCAAAGGTCTGTGGAGGTAGAATCAAATATGCGAGGACTTCAACTCCAAACACCAGCAAAGAGGTGCCAATTGAAAGGGAATACCTCGAGGATTTTGAAGGAGTTGAGAGAGTAGTACGAGGATTTTACTCCTAGGAAACAAGTGGATGATCTAATAAGATAAGACAAACAAAGGGGAGAAATATGAATCTCCAAGGGAAGAGGAACAATCACTAGATGCCAGTAGCTATGATAATGGGAGAATTTCAGGGTCCTTGACCCTAAGCAGTGGCGAGGCAAGAAACAAAGAGGTACAACGAGAAGTTCCTAACCTAGTTTTAGTGGACAACGCTATTACAACCCAGTGACAAGGAGCAGTAGAGAGCTTAAACTTCAAGAGAAGCTAGTGTAGTATAAATAAAATAAAGGAGGAAGTAAGTAGGTTAGAGGGGGTTTGAAAGGACGTCAAAAGTCAATAGTTTAAGAAGGAGAGGAGGCAGGTTCATTTACCTATGATGATAAAGGAACCCTTATAGATAAACCACGTAACTGGAGAAGAAGGTACTTAACCCTGGGGAGTTAGGCCGATGACAAGCCTTTAAAAAAAACAAGACAAGCAACGAGATAAATGATGTAGAGGACAAGTTATGGTCTCAGTACGAGCACCATTGGACGAGTTGTGAAGGAAAGTGCCACCAAAGTCTAAAGCATGCCTGGTAGAAGACAGTGGGGAGTCAATACATAAGAAAAGACATGGATTGTGAGAGAGAATAACAGTTAGCTAGTAGATGGCAGTACGAATAGAGAACCACTTCTCAGAAGTTCGTGAGTTGGATACCAAGATAACACCGAGTTAGAAAGAGGATAGTAGAGACCCTACAAACTACCCAGGTCACAAAAGGTCAGGAGGATGTTGGGACCGTTGGAAGGGGTATGCAAGAGTTCACGATGATCTATTATGGGATTGGCCTCTCATAAATAGAGGGAACACCTAGCCTCATAGGTTACATGAGGGGTGACAGAAGGAGGAACCTCTCTACTAAATTGGAACTAGAGGGCTAAGAGCTGAGGTCTCAGAACTAGCTATAGAGTAAGTCATTAAGCCAACCGAGTATAGACAAGTAAGTGAAATGTTCAATAAATGTTCTAGTTAAGGGCAAATAATTCTAGGAAACACATGGACGTTCCGGTGAAGGATTGAGAATATGTGATAGTGACTCGTGTTCAAGAAAAAGCATAGTGGAATACGACGAGGAAAAGCATTACCAAGAAGGAGGAAATCATTAAGTTACCTTACCCAAGGTTCCCCATTCTGAGCGAGTACGACATAGTAGGATGTTATCCATAAAAGAAGGCCAGTTAAGGATAAATTAGTGATATTTAGTTAAGCCACTAAGAGCCATGACTAAGAGATTAAGGCTATGTACCAGCATCGGTCGAGACAAAAGACGTGGATGAGGTATGTTCAAGCCTACTAAGGGCAAACCACTATTTGAAGCTTTGAACCAAAACAACAACGAGAAGATACTCAACAGAGTTTGGTGACCGAGAATAGTACAAAGCATCAACAGAAGGGTAGTAAAAGTAAAGAAGCAAGGAGAACACCATAGGACGCTACAGGAAATAAAAAAAAAAGGTGGTTATCGACCGGACAATGAATGCGTGAAGGAAGATAGTTGGGACGTGGTCAAGCACCATTGTGAGTAGAAGTCGTGGGTATCATCTGTCAAGTCTACCTAGAGAAAGTTTCTAGTGGAAATGTTGGCTCTGAGGTATGGCGAAGAGCTACTAAACTGAGTAGATCAAAGCTAGTACCAAGCATCGATGAAGGAGTTGTGGAAGTAAGGAGGAAACCACAAGGCTATAATGAAAGTTAAGGTGAAAAGGGTGGTAGTTGATAAAACGACAAATTCAGGGAGAAAGATAGATAGGAAGAGCCGGCAAAAGAATACGAAGGTCAACAAGGAGGCATCAAGGTGATTGCCAGTGGAGAATAAGTTGGACCATAGGAAGCCATCAAGAACGGAGAAGCTCAATGGTCAACTTTAAAGTAGAAGTGTGGTGGTCCAGAACGGTCGAAGGGAAAACCTTATCAGTCAAGGTACATAAGTGAGAAGAGAATATGGGCACCAAGATGACCACATCGAGGACGAGGGACATATAGAACTAGCGAGAAACATCGGTAAGAGGAGTCACGAGTAGAGAAGTAAGATGGATATGAGTTTAGCAAACGTGCTAGCATACCCTAAAGTGAAAGCAATACCACCTATGAGGGTGCAATGTGGCGACGCCTGAGAGATGTGGTGACCTCTCGGGTGAAAATTTCTTGGACGGGGAAACTGTACGAGGAATTTCAGGCAAGGTCTAAGAACAATAGAAGAGATCGTACGAGAACTCCCAAGTCAAACGGTGATAAGGAAGTGTTAAGTTAGGTGCCAGGAGTGAACAAGTACTCAAAATGGAAGGTCGTGATTCTGGAAAGAAGTCATAAAGTTGATCGCAAGCTAGAGAAAGATGCGAAGGATGCCTCTAATGCATACAGAAAGTCGAAGCAGTAGTATGAGGTTCCAACACTAAGCAACAAGTAACGAGAAGGTGACCATTCAATTTATGGTTAATGGATAAGACGAGGCATTAAGGAAGAAAGTAAGAGATGCAAAGTTAGGAGATACAAGGACCTAGGTGATCTATGAGATCAACCCCGGACGAGAGTGATGTTAAAGGAGTTGTACTAGGGGTGGTAAACGGTAATCCGGTAAACGGTTTACCGTTTTATCGAACCGGTAACCGGTTTACCGTTTTACCAAACCGGTAACCGGCGGTAAACGGTAAACCGGCGGTAAACGGTAAACCGGTAAACCGTTTACCGGCAGTATCGGCAGCCCAGCGGGAAGTTGGGGGAGTCGGTTTACCGGATATGGTATCGGTAAATACCGACGGTAAACCAGTATTACCGATACTGAATCCCCCCTCCCTACTCCCTAGTGCTACGCTAAGTTTTGTTGCTTTACCCCCAAAAATATAAAATATTACATACATGAATGTAAGTATAGGCCTAAAAAATATTGTAAATAAGAGTTAATAATAAATTATTAATTACAAAAATGATGAAAATAACTCAAAAAAATCAAAATATTACAACATCACCCCACTTCCAGAAATTCGGTTCGGTAAATCGACCGAAAAACCGCCTGAAATCGCTTCTCACGGTATTTTGGTAATACCCGTTTGTAACCATATAACGGTAATTCGGTAATCGATAAACCGGTTACAAATCGGTATCGGTAATTGGTAACTAGTTTGGCCAACTTCGGTATACCGAAACCGGTAAATTCGGTAAACGGTAAATTGTTTACCGACCGAATCCCACCCCTAAGTTGTACCATCTGACTGGATAGAGGATAAGCTGCCATCTATAACCTTGGGGGTTTGAGAGAAGCATTAACGTCTCGTATACCGCATAATGGAGATAGTTATTTCTACGACATACGTCTAAGGTGCATAGGTGATGTGAGGGGTTAAGAAGCCACCACCAGCGAAGCTTGCAGTAATCACGGTGGATAAATTTCGAGGGCAAAATTTCTATAAGTGGGGAGGAAATGTGATACCTCGACTTCGATTTAGGTTCAACATCAAGAACTGGATCAAATAAATCGAGTCGAAATTTTGTCCCATCGCACCTTGGGCCCAAGTTGGATTTCAGGGCAATGAGTCACTCAAACCTATTCGATGCTACCAAGCTAGATGAGAATATATGTTATGTTCAAGAGTACATATAAGAACTATCATAAGCTATTCAAGACAAGGTAAGGGCACGCCATTGAAGTTCCTATAGAAAGAGTGAAATCTTGAGCCAAAGAAGCACGAGAATGAGGAGTATGAAAGGATAAGCCCGATCAAATTTCAGGGACGAAATTTTTATAAGGGTGGAGGAAATGTTACACCCCGATCTTGCCAAAAGTCAAAATGATTATTATACCCTTGGGCGAAATTCGTCAAATTCCATCGTAGTATCGATGAGGACTAAAAATGCAAACTCTCGGTTCAAACGGTGTCGAGTTTTGATATAAATCGAATAAGTTACGGACGTTAGTTGAGTTACGGATTAAACTCACCCGTAATTTGTGAAATTCCCCGAGCTAGATAAAACCCAACCCTAATCCCATGCTCCACTCGGCAACAGTCAAGGTAATTAAAACCTAAAGCAGCCTTTTAATCTCTCCACCGAACTGTTCCGGACCTGGGATGCTAAAGCGGCGCATCTCTCCCTACTATGAGAGGCGTGTGCTTAAGCAACTAGAGGGCAATTCTACGGGACAAAACAAAGCGGCGCCATTGAGAGCTGCTCGTTCGAGGCGGCTGGTGAAATCAAACAGGAAGGCGGCATCGTCCCAACTACGAGCGTTCATTCGTCCGAGCGGGATCTGTTCGTCTGAGAGTAAGGCCTCTATTGGTCCAACAATCTCGCCCAAGGGGGATCTTCCTGAAGAGACGGGAATCCCTCCCTATTACGAGAGCAGCTACCTTGACCAGGCTGCTTGCGATTTAATGGACTAGGAGCGACCAGGAGATCGCGCGCGGATGGAGGACTGTTAGCGGCGGCCAGGCTGGGTGCTTGCGATTTAATGGACCAGGCTGCTTAAAGCAACTAGCTTAAACAAGCAGGAGATTGCGGCGGATGGAGGACTGCTAGTGGCGGCGCCTACTCTCTCTACGACGAGAGGTGCTAGCTTAAGCAAGCAGGACCATTAGTGGTGACCATTATTTCTGCACGGCGCCAAGAGAGGTGCTAGCTTAAGCAAGCAGGACCATTAGTGGTGAAGCAAATTCAAGCAAGCAGGAGCCGATTCAGCAGCTTGGCGATTCAGCAGGAGATTGATTGGCGGCGGCCATTATTAAGCAGGCAGGAGGAGGCCAATTATTAAGCAGGCAGGAGGCGGCACCTAACCAAGCATGTGGTGTCGGCAAATTCGGGCAAAAGCGCATAATCAAGCCAGTTCCGACGGAAGTAAGGTGAGTGTAAAGGGGGTAAATTCTACGCCTTACGTGTTCTTTCAAGAATTGCAAGTCTTGAGTATTTCGATGAAGTGAATGTCGTTGTTGGATTGTGCTTATGGTTGATTATATGTGATTTTGTTTGAGCTATGCTTGATGTGAATGTGCATGAGTTCTTATATAAATTTGAGCTTTAAGTTTATAAGTTATTGTTGAAGTTAAGAAACAAGTTCTTTTTAGGAAGTAACTCACCTTCAAGAAGGTGAAGTCGTTTTAAGTGTTTTTAGTCACTAGCGCCAGTCCGTTGCCTTTTGAGACAGTTTGAGATAGAGCAGCAGTTATGCTCTTGAGACATTTAAGATGGGCAGCAGTTATGCCCTTGAGAATCGTGGTGGAGAGCCACCACGATAAGTTTAAGATGTTAGGGGGATGAATCGTTACGACTTCCCTAACTAAGTTTAAGTTTAAGGAAATCGGACTAGCTAGTGAGGGATCCCAGTGTCAGTCAAGTATTTGAGTCAAGCTTTGAGATTTAAGAGTGGAGTAACAGTAACTCCCTTTCAGTTTTAAGAGTTAAGATTTTTAATAGTGGAAGTACAAAACAACTTCCACTCAGTTAAGTAAAGTGATCAAGCATTAATAAGATGTTAAACGTAAGGGCGTAGACTGACCCCATCTCACTCACCAGTTTGAAGAGCTAGAGGAAGAGCTAGAGGAACATTTAGTGGGCAGCGAGTTCGAGGGCAGCCAGCTAGAGGAGAGCAGTATAAGCGTCACGGAGGGTGCCTAGTTAAGATTTTCAGTAGCAGCAACGACAGAGACTACCTAGTTGTTTGCATTTTATGATTATAAGTATATACTGGAGATCAGATTGAGAATTTAAAGTTTGAGTTTAATTTGCCCACATGTTAGGGCTTTGCTAGTAAAAGTGTGTGTTTTCAGTATTTTATTTATTAAAATTTTTCCCAGTTGCAATTTAAGATTTGAGTATTTTATTTATCAATGACATTTTAGTAAAAGTAGTACCCGGCCTGGTTAGGGTGTTTCATATTTTGCTAGATGTCATTTCTACATTTCAAAATGGATTTGTCAAGGATAGATCTATCCTATACAGCGTCATACTATGTCAAGAAGTCATGACTTACCTTTCGGATAAGCGAGGTAGTAGGGACAATTGCATGACTCTTAAACAAGATATGAAGAAAGCATATGATCAGATTGAGTAGCCATACCTATTTCAAATAATGGAGAAGACAGGCTTTGCACCTCGTGTGATTGAGCTAATTCAAAATTGCATGTCTACAACATCTATCTCGGTGCTACTTAATGGTGGTTCTTACAGATACTTTAGCCCTACTCATCGCCTGCATTCAGTACATACCACTATCTTCCTTATTATTTGTTATTTGTATGGAAGGTTTTTCTGCGTCGGTAAAGCAATCCAATGATTCATTGTTTGTGCAGAATTAAAGGGAGTTCGACTCAGTAGCCATTGCCTGGTGCCTTCTCACTTATTTTTTGTGGATGATGCTTTGCTTTTCCTTTGTGTCCCTCCGCACGATTGTCGACTACTTTTGGCGCTTCTCAATATGAGAGGATGAGTGCAAAAATACCACATCTCTTGAGGCTTCACAATTTGGTGCTTCCCTCCACGTGGGTGCGATAAGGACTAGAAATTGTTATCTTGGACCTCCTTCCATTATCCATCGATCTAAACAGTAAACTTTTTGGTTCATTGAGGAAGAAGTGGTCAAAAGCTTAAAGGCTTGAAGCGTCGATGTCTATCACCTGCGCGTTGGAGACGTTGATCAAGTTTGTTGTTTTGACTCTTCCTATGTATGCAATGTTGTGCTTTCGCCTTCCTAAGGAGCTTTATCGTAGTCTCAACCGTATGATTGCTCACTTTGGGGGGGGGGGGGGCAACAAGGCACATAACGACATCTCCCCTGGGTTTCTTAACATCAGTTATGTAAATCGAAGGCGGAAGGCGGACTTGAATTTCGGGATTTTGAGGCCTTAAATCAAGCTTTACTTGCCAAACAATGTTGGCATATTATGAACGAACTGGAATCCCTAATTGCATGTGTGCTCAAAAGCCGTTACTTTCGTCAAACTACATTCCTAAATGCGATCATGGGTTCTAATCTATCTTGGGCGTGGCAGTCCCTTCTCAATGGGAGGATTTTACTAGTCAAAGGCTTGCGTTGGGAAGTAGGCTCTGGTACATCAATTTATGTCTTGCATGATCCATGGGTTCCTTCTATTACCACGTTTTCCCCAATTGTGTTACCATCGGTGGATCGGTTACCTTGGTTTCTTACCTATTTCATTTCCAACACAACTCATTCTTGGACTATCCTTGATTACAAGATTTTTTTACGCCTGAATCAGTAACTGCTATTCGAGGCATTCCCCTACCTTAAATTCCATATGTCGATATAATCATATGCCATTTTGATTCTCGGTGAAATCTGCATATCGTTTGGCTATCTCTACTTTCTATGTGAATCGGCCTCGTATCCTCGTGATACGGCAAGTCGTCTGGATCCTTCCATTTGGTCGCCGATGTGGGGTCTCCCTTTGTCCCCCAAACTTAATTTTTTCCTCTAGCGTATTTTGCTACGCATTTTACATGTATGGTAGGGGTGGGCATTCAGTCGGTTCGGTTTCCACCGAACCGAAATGATGCATATTGGGTCCCCTAATTATACCAAATCTCAAACCGAATATAATTTGGTTTGGTCGGTCTAAACCGAATTATAATTAGGTACGGTTTGGAATTTCATGTGAGACTACTTGTATCTTTTACCTTTTAAATTATTTTTTACCCCTAATGTAAACAATATATATATGTTATATGCATCATCAATAATAAAATCAAACATTTCAACACATAAGTCATAAAACCCTAACTTAATTCAAATACTTAACTCTCAAAACATGTACAAACATAAAAAAAAATCCACCATTTGGAGCTTACAATTATAGTTATTTGGATTTTCGGTCGGAAATTCAAAAATTCGATTCGATTGAAAGAACCTTGATTTCTGAAATATATAAATTTCCCTTCCGAATTTCGAACTGAATAGCATTATTTCGGTTTTGATTTGGTTTAATTTAGTTTTGATTCAGTTCGGGTTGAGGGAGAGTCCTAGGACGCTATGGAGTACATGTGGCGAATTTGTGCCCGGTTTGTGGTTGGGTTGAGGGAGAGTCCCTTGAACACTTGTTTCTTGGTTGTCAGGTGGCAGTTTCTTTACAATAGACATTCAATTTACAAATAGCATAGTTCCGACTACTCACATGTCCCTATTTTGGTGCCATCTAAGTCTGAATATGGACCAGACCACCATTGTACATTGGGTCCTCCTTTTCTGGCGAATATGGAAAGGACAAAACAATGTAGTGTACCCCCCATATGTCGTTGGCAATGGCGCGATCGTCTGGTCCAAATTTTGAGTGATTCCCATGCAGTCATTCAACAACTGACGGTTAGCGATACAATTGATGTTTATGTTGGTGCTATTCTACTTGAAGTCAATACTCTACTCCATTCCATGCATTTTGTGTCCTTAGTTTTCATACCCTGAGAAAGTAATCGAGTTGTGGCACAAAATGCCTTACATTTATCTAGTGGAATTAATGAACTATGAAATTATTCGTATTTGCTTTGTCTTTGAGTTAGTAAGGAGCCAATTTGTTGTGGCTAGCCTCGTGCTTATCTGATTTATCCAAAATAATTTCCATGACAATTTTTTTTCAAGTTAACAAGTCTATCTCTTTGTTATTTTTTTCTATAAATGTACTCTTCTTTTATGAATACGCAATGAACGTACCTTTCTATCAATATTTCCATCAAATCACCGTTAAAGGGTCATGAAATTACCAAAATGGTAATCACTTATTATTTCTTTTTTTAGGTTATCGCTTATTATTTCTTGACATAAAATTAAACATAAATAATTTAATATTATTTCATCACTACTAATTCCTATTATCCTACTCATTGTCCAACAAACCCCCACATTTCCAACCCACTCTTCTCCCCCTGAAGACAAAACGACAGTGACGACCGAATTATTGAACACACTATTCAAGAAGGCGCTAGGCGGTAATTAGGCGGTGAGGTACTGTTTAGCGTCTAGGGTGATTGTTCATTGCCTTGGCGCGATTAAGCATTGAAAAAAATATAGGTATTAAAGTTCAATGTTTAAGATTGAACATAACATTTCATAATTTCACTGATTTCCAATTATGTAACTGACAATGTCCAAGATAACCAATGCTTAAGTTCTCGCATAGAAGAAAACAAACATAAAAATGACAAAAATACTAAGATAAGCCATAAAGACGATGACAAGATCTTAGGCTCCAAGTTGATCACACGACATCTGCATCCATATAGTTCTTGTTACCACATCCTCTTCAGCATCCTCGAAATGAATGGGCTCTCTTTCCTCCTCATCGATAAGGTCTCTCACTAGTCTCGCACTCCTATGGGGTTCAAGATTCTCATTAAGCACCCCTTGCCTCATCATTCATTAATAACACTCCATGGGATGCCATTGAAACATCCATAATCTCCATCCCTAAACACATGCAATGTGTGACGATCTCCTCCCTCAAATAGAAAGCCTTTGTGCTTCAATTGAATCAGAACTTATGAGAACATCAACATTCTTCTTCTCCTTGATCTTCCTCTACTTGGACATCAAATCTAGAGTTGAACTGAATGTATACTAGTTGATTCAGGCAATTTGTTGTAAGCCAATTCCTTCTCTTAGTATGACTCTGCAAGGACAATTGACTAAATGAGCTTGCATCTAATATCTAATTTTGCTATATAGTATACGGTAATGACTGGTATACTCCAAGTGATCTGGCTGTTAGATCTCCTTTTTTGAGCTTCGGCCAATCTTAACGGTCAATTAGTATTTTTTATTAAATCGAACTTCTAGTTTGAGTTTAGAGAATCAAGGGATCGAGTTTATCCATTAGAGGTTAGGGTATAGTATCATATCCGAAACTCAATTTAATTCATGGTCTAGATAGAGATATCTCACTAAGAGTATTGGAGTATAGTATACTCTAGGAGTACAAAAGTCTGACCCTATGGTATACATATATAAAATTCAAAACTACTAACTGACTCAAAAGTACTCCAATTTCTCTCACAAGTGGAAGAACTTGAGGTCAATGACATTATCCTTATAGACATATTTTGTAAATGTTGCGTCTCACCTCCATACATTCTACACCATGCCACTAAGAAAGGAATTAACTCTAAATTAGTGAACGAGACTAAATCATGAATGGCAAGAAAATGAGAGAATAAGTACTAACCAATGGCTCACCTCCACATATTCTCTCACAAGTTTCTCATTCTTAAATTCATTCTTTATCTCTCTCTTTGCCTTAAGAAGTTCACCATACAGGAAACCCATAGAAGGTTTCACATCCTCATCCACCAGTTGAAGCAGTTTCACCAATGGCTCAATTATAGACTCTCAAGCAAGAATCCACACCATTCCAAAACCTAACATCTAGAATCGTGTCATAAGCATAATTACCTTTATTTGAACTTATCTCCTTAACGTTTTCCCACTTTGCATCCACCACCATCTTCCTCAAAGCATCTTTCTTGTCCATTAAGCTTTG